AGCGGGAGGCGCCGCAAAAGAAGTAGCAATCGTGCAATTGTTTGCACAGCAACTTGCAGCGAAGTCTCCAAAAAGCAGAAGAAAAGCACAAAAATATGGCAAGAAAAGGGGGTAGAAAAGATATATAAAAAATATATATACAAAAAAATATATTTAAAAGTCAACAAACGGCGGCAACAGAACATCTGCTGCAGTTTCAGTTGCACTTGTTCAGCTTTCCTCCATGATGGTATTCCTAAGTGTTGCACAAGAATTGGGCTTGTTTTCAAAAGTTTTCAGGCAAAATAAAATTGTGTAATGTTCAGTAAAAGAGTATGGGAAGCTACTTATTTACTTGCTCCATCTAAAAATATTATTTAGCTTTAGTTCTCGCTAATATTTCTAAATTTGCACAACAATTGGGCTTGTTTTTTAAGAGTTTTCAGGGAAAATACAATTTATTTAGTAGAATAATACATGTCCTTCTTTACTTGCTTCATCCGCAAACATTGGCAAAAGAGCCTAAAAAAAGATACAATATTTAGTAACATTTTATATTCAATTTATTCATCAATAAATATGAACCAAACCTCATTAACTTACATTTTTTAAAGCTACTTACATAAATAGTTTTCAGAGGTACGAGTATCTCATAGCTACGAGTATCTCCTGATTTTCCCATGCTAACGACATTGATTCTGAAATACTTTAAGATGATTATGCCGCACTTATTGCCCCTATTACTTGTGCAACAAATGCTATTGTTGCTAAATTGCGACTCTTACTGCAAACATTGCTGCAACTCAGCAGCTTATTGCTGCACCATTTTGTGTCGCAGATACTTGTACTTCAGTTGCATTTGCTAATGGGGGGCATCTGTTTTGCCTTGAGTTGCCCTTGAGTTGAGCGTCAGAAATCATAAAACTTCAAACTAAAGGATGATAGAATAACAGACGAAGCAGTCAAAGCATTTTTTCGATTTTTTTACAGCCTTGAGTGGTTCAGAGGCTAGAGCACTCGTCCTTTGCTCTAAAGTACACAGGTTCAAATCCCAAAGGAAACCATTATTTTTTTTCTTTTTTAAGTACTGTATTTTTTTTTAAACAGCCTATTTAAATAAGCTGTCAAAGGGGATAAACCGTTCTTAACTTATTAACTCGGTTTGGTAAAGGATATTATGAGTTATGGGCAGCACTGGCTTTATATTGCTGATATTGCAGTTCTGCTAAATACCTTTAATAAAGCGCATTTGTTTATCAGGGTCTTAAATGTTCCATGCATATATTTAAATTTTCCAAATATTTTCCCTGATAATAATTGAATAATTACAGACCCAGCAATTTTCATTGCATAATTAATAATTCCATCAAAAATGCTCACACGAACATATGCGCGTGTGTCAAAGTGTTAGTTACCACTTCGAGTTGAAATCGAACAATTTGTTGCCGAACTCGAAAAGCTGTAATAATCGACCATCAAGGTTTTAACATTCATAAATATGTATATATATATATATATATGGCCATAAAAGTATTTATGTATGCATAATAACTGCAATTGCTGTGGGTGAATTAAATTGATATTTTGTTAGCGAGCAAATTCGTTGGGCGATAAAAAGCTGCAAAAATAAAGCAGATGAATCACTTTGGTGGATATAAAAACAAAGTTAATCGACTGATAAGTGACTTATCCAGTATATATACTGGTTATATTGTACTCCCCATTCCACAATTTCATTTCGCAGAGCCCCATCTCCGGTTTCTATAGCGTTTTTTATCTCATTTCTTTGTCGATGGAATTTCTGCGCTGAAGAGATGAAAGTACCTCCCTTCGCATTCCACCCGCATCACAATGGCCAAGAAGTTGGCTTTTTTGAATTTTTCAATTAAATGTTAATTAAGTTAATGAAATGCCCCCCGCTCCCCGCATATACGGTGCGTTTCTTTTTTAGCCCCAGTTCGGCGAAAAACAGTGAAAATTCAATGGGCGGAGAAAAGTGGAAATAAAATTTTCAAATTTATGACCAGCATTCCTTTTGACTCTTCTTAATTTCACTGGATTTTTTAGCCAAAAAGCTCTGCCACAAGAATTTTCCCACCAAAAAGTTGCCAGGCAATATTCACAAAACAAATTTAATTAGTTAAAAAAAAAAGAAGATACGTTTACGATGAACATTTGATGAACAGAAAAAAAGGTAGAAGCTAAGTTCAGAGGCCGGAAAAAGCTTTAATTGAAAGGGAATCGCAATTAACTGGATTTTTTACGGCTAAAAGCGGCCACGGGAAACGCTTTAATTATGCAAATGTTGATTTATCCCTTTTTTAATGCATCAAAGTTCGAATTTTACACAGTTAAAAGAGGTTTGGCTTTGTTTTTTATTTCAATTAAATACAAAAACAAACCCCTTTTAAATATAAATATAAAAGTATTAACTGAAAATAAAAACTAAAAAAAGGTTTGCTTTTGATTTTAATTGAGAAAAATAAATATATAAGTATTAAATGAAAATAATAAATAAAAAGAGGTTTGCTTTTAGTCTTATTTAAAATAAATAAATAACTAAGTATTAAATAAAAAGTTAAAATGGGTTTGCTTTATATTAAATAAATATAAATTAATACATAAGTAATAAATAAAAAGTAATAAAATGTTTGCTTCTATTTTTTTATTTAAATAAATAAATATATACTAATTAAATAAAAAGTAAAATGAGGTTTGCTTTGTATTTAATAAAAATAAATAAATACATAAGTAACAAATAAAAATTAAATTAAAATAAATAAATATATATATAATACAAAAAGCGAATTAAATTAAAAAATATTAAAAATAAATAATAATAAATAAGAAAAAAAATGTAAAAAGTTTATTTGTGTTCCATTTTTATTCAAGTGTCTTTTTGTATGATTTCAACTTTATGCTTAAACCTATGAAGTGTAAGAATCTCAGTTTGATGGTTTCCTGTGCTCCAGTTATGGTCGAGTGCATGTCTTGTAGTAGTTGCTCAGCTCAGCTCAGCTCAACAGTAAAGTGTGCTAGTGTACCATGCTTCTTACAACTTACCGGGATTCGAACCCGGACCGGCGGCATAGGTCTCAAACTGGGAGTCGGAAGGTGACTCCCTAGGCTGCCGCCGGCGGCGAGGTGACAGCTGCCCAGGGGTAAACTTAAACTTCACCTACTTTGATTGGCCTTTGACTTCGAAAAAGTAACAGCCTACTGCGATTGCTGCCCTGGCAGGAATCAATTCAAACTTGGGGCGGGAAAATCCTTATACCACACTTTATTATTCATTTCGAACTTTGTATGGGATTGATACCTGTCACACTTTATTTGATCTGCAATGAGGTCCTTAGACTTCATCTTTTAAAATAATTAAAAACCTGTGGCTCCTTTAACCACTTAATTAAAAATACCTTATAGTTTTGTTCAAATTACTTGCAGATAAAAATCAGATATGCAAGAAACGCTTGTTATGAAACCAGTAAATACTAAATTAAAACTCCTTTTGAATTTTCTTAAGTCTTTAAAAACTGTTTCGTTTCGAAAACTCATTCAAAATATACCTTCTTATTAAAAATAAGTTATTATATAAAACTCTATTCTGGAAATCAGCTTCTTGGACTCAGACTTCTAATACATTTAAAAACCATAGGAGTTTTTTTATCAATGTTTTAAAAATACGTTATTGTTTTAATCAAAATATTAACAAATAATTTTTTTAATTTAAAAATCCTTTGGTTTTTTTTGTATATTATATTTAAGCTTATTAAGAATGTTCTGGTTCACAAATCTATTCACTTTCTAACCTTCACCTTTCTTACCCAGTTAATTGAAAAAAAGAATTGTTTTGTTTAAATTATTTGCTGATAACTTAAAAAATTAAAGCAACGATTGGTATAGCGTCTATATTTTTTCTTAACTCTATTTAAAATGATTCTACTCACGAACTTATTCAAAACCCACCGTATTATATAAAAAACACTCTCCGAGAATTCAGACTTTAGATATATTTACAGAATAGCTAAAAATCCTTAGCTCTTTACCCATTTCATTTAAAATACTTTATTATTTTGTTAAAATTATTTAAAGAATGTTTTAAAAAACTTAAGCAACGTTCGTTATATCCTTTATATTTTCCTTAAGCCTATTAAAAGTTTTTCGTTGCATAAAGTCATCCAGAACACACCTTATTATATGGCACACTCGCCTGGAAATCAGCTATTTAAATTTCCGTTTGACAAGAGTGTTTTGTTAAGCCCACCGTAATGCCACCTTCTTTTGGCCGCACTTTGTCATCAGCTTTTGCGCAGCCCGTCTTTATGCGGATACTAAATATGTATATATGTAGGTATATATATATATATATGGCCATATATATTTTTGTAGTCGAGAGTGCGACGGGTATTTATGCACCGTCGTCCCCGGGCCTCTGCTCCTAATTAGTTAATGTAGAAAAGCGAGGCCTGTCACTTCACTCCACTTGGCGAGATGGAAATGGAGATGGAGATGCGGATGGGGATGGGGATGGGGATGGGGATGCGGATGGAGTACCCAAGTTGGTTCCCCTGGCGTTTGGTTCCTCGGTCTCAGCACGCGGCATGTTACAAAGAACATTTTTGGAATCTCTGGAGGAGCGGAGTGGGTTGTAGCATCCTGCTTTGTGGCAGCTGTTTGTGCCCCTTCCCTTTTGCGTTCATATAGCACAGTTTGGCCCTAATGAAATATATGGGGACAGGCTTCAAAGCAGATTTTACATCCAGCCAGGCAACCCACTAAGCAAATGTGCTCGTGTGTTGTATGTATTTTTAATGTCGCAGAGTTCTACCTACATACACCCACGCCAACCAACAAACAAAACCCCCTTTCTACCCTACGCCTTTGGGCATTAAAAATGTAAACGCTTTACGGGCCACGCGGCGTATGCTTAATGCATAACGTATACGCACTGTGCGCCGCTCGCATACAAATAAACCGAAGTGAACTCTTTTCCGTTTTTTTCTTTTTTGACTCTTTTACAGGTGAACGTGAGCAACACCTGGACAATGCCGCAGGAGGGTCTCAATGTCTTCTATCGCTTCTTCCGCGATCGCATATCCTGGTTCGAGGCCGATGCCGTTTGCCAATTTCATCATGCCAATCTTGTGACAGGTAAGCGAAAGGAAAATCCCAGAGGAAAACCACGGCAAATGGTGAAATAAAATGGTGAGAAGAGCTCGGCTAAATGGCAGAAAGAATTGCAAGTGAGAAATGCAAATAAGCCTAGAGTAGGAAACTAAGGTTCTACAAGGAGAAAAAAAAAAAAGAAATAGAAACAGACTGGGGATTGGCACATTATTACAAATGTCCAGCCAACGAGAGTGTCACCTAGCAACGAATGCATCTAGTACTGCGAAATGGGGGTGAAAAAAAAGGGATAAGGGTGCAAAAGACAGATGCCAAAGGGACGTTGCCATTGTGGTTCGCAAATGAATGAAATGACAGCAAAGTGACGCAGCCACAGTCGAGTCTTTTATGTGGCCGGACCCCAAAAGCTTTTGCCGTACAATCTCAACCTCTGGCCCTGCATTTTCCACCCAACACCCCCCCCCCCCTTTTCGTTTACCGCATTGCTTTTGCTTTCTGTTTTCATTCAGAGGGGGGGGGGGGTTTCCATTTCCATCCCAACCCCCAGCAAAACTAAACCAACCAGCCAACCAACCTCATAATACAATAAATCCTCCTGACAAATGCTGTCGCTGCAGTGGCGGCGGGTCTGGAGGGGTTCTAAACGGGTGGGAAGGGGGCTTTGGGGGCAGGTCGAGATTGGGGTCAACGCTGGCCAGATAAAGATGGCCAAACAGTTCAGTGCATCTAAATCACAATCACCCGGTCGCTCAAATGACCCAAAACAACCGACTCAATGGTGTGCCAGAAAGTTGCCAATATATCTGCTTCCAACAAAAGTTCTGATGCAGGTCCTGTGATCTTTACTGGGGGAAACCGAATAAAAGTCAGTCAGGGGAAATTTATTCATTTGTATAATAAAGTATTTTAGTGTGTTGCTAGGACTGACTTGGTTTTCTGAGAAAACAAATGATTCAAATAGAGAGATAAGGCTAAAATTTTGACTTTTAAAATTTTGGCACTTGTAATATATTTCTAACACTATATTTTGGATCATAATATTCTTAAAATAATTTTATAAAAATAAAATATATTGTATTACAAAGTATTTTAGTGTGCGCTTAAGAAACACTGAAGTTTTTAAAAAGACGGCTGATTAAAATAGAAAGTCTAGATTACAATATTGACATTTAAAAACCTGACCTTTTTAATATTTTTCGATTACTATGTTCTGGGTCTTAATATTTTTAAAGTTACTTTATAAAAATAAAAAATATTAATATTTTGTATAATTAAGTATATCAGTGTGTGACTATTTTTATAAGAGCAAACGCTGTTTTAAATAGAGAGTTTGAAAATATTTTAAAAATTTCCTTAAATTATGGTTAGGTTCATAGTGATAATAGAGCTAATTTTCAGCTAAAATATATCAATAAATCATTTAATAAAATCCTGAACATTGGACATGACATTTTAAAATAAATCCAGCAAGTTAGCCGAAGATTAATTACTAACAATCATTAATATTTAATTACTTAAATCATAAAAAACCACCTTTAAAATTCCTAATAAATCAATTTCCATTTAACAAAAAATTAAATTATAGTTTGTGACATAGCTTTGTGGATTTTTCAATTGATATTCAGCGAGCAGGTAAGGCTTTTGGGGTCAAGGGTCGATTCGTTGACATGGCACACATATTCACTTCTCTTTTTTTTTTGGCAACATATGCAAATTTAAGGACGTGTGTGTCAGAAGGGGTAGCACAAACAATAGCTAAATAAGAATCGCAAACGGGAACGAAAACAGAAAACAGACACGAGAGCCGGAAAAATGGATACAAAAATAATTTTCAACAGCGTTTTGTTAACAATTTGTGTTGTCACTGAAGGGTAACATCGAGCTGATGGCTTCTCACAGCCGAAAAAAACTCAATAGGAGTGGGAAAACTAAAACAAATAAAGGCAAAAAACACAGAAAAAACAACAATAGACGGGGGGCGAGTTTAATAGAAATACCATGTGTAGAACAAATAAAAACCATTTGTCGTCTCGTTTTCATTTGAACTATTCTCCACCCGCTCAACCCATTTGATTTTCTCGTTTTGTTTTTGCCAAATGTCCTGCGTCCTGTGTCCTTACAGTCGACAACAGTTTTCAATTCGATGCAACGCGCGACCTGCTGAGGGAATTGGATGTGAACGACATCGTTTGGATTGGTCTCATGCGACCGCAGAACTCGGATCGTTTTATGTGGTCGTAAGTACAACAATAGCAATGGGAACATCAACATCAACACCAGCAACAAAGGCACACCATGGTAGGGTATCCATAGGATACGTAGTACAGAACACAAGGATACAGGGATACAGGGATACAGGGATATGCGGATGCCGAAACAGGATATAGGGATGCGGCCGAAAGGGATTGTCTGACAATTGTCCTGTTGGGGCCGACATGTGTATAGTGGTCCTCCATTTAGGAACAGATCGGAGCTAAGAGTCGGGGGAATCCCCAAGTGGAATAAAGCTTGCATGATACACTAAGTGAAATCAAGCAGGGATGGCAAATAAAATAATAAAGCAAGCTGTCTTTCATACTAACCAACTTTCAGCCAATTATATTCGAAAAATTCCACAAAATAACGAGGGAGATAGTGCAGGATATCGTTTTTCATAAAATAATTAGACAAAATAGGAACACATATTCGTTATTATAAAGAAATACAAATTTTTAGCAATGCATACATGATAAACTGAGTGAAATGAAGATGAAATGGCCAACAAAATGGTAGGACAAAGGCTGTCAGTTATAGGTTTTCATAACCAATCAAATTCGAAAAATTTAACAAAATAACGAGGGAGAAGTCCGGGATATCGGTTTTCATAAAATAATTAGAGAAAAATCTAACGCAAACTCGTTATTACATAGAAATACAGATGTGTGGAAAAGCATATATAATAAAGTTTAGTGAAATCAAGAGGAATGGCAAACAAAATGGTGGTACAAAGGCTGTCAGATATAGGTTTTCATAACTTTCCAACTTTCAGCCAATTAGTTGGAAAAATTCAACGAAATAACGAGGGAGATAGTGTAGAATATCGTTTTTCATAAAATAATTAGACAAAATAGCAACACATACTCGTTATTATAAAGAAATACAGATGTTTAGAAAATCAAATATAATAAAATGAGTGAAATCAAGGGGAATGGCAAACAAAATGGTGGTACAAAGGCTGTCAGGTATAGGTTGTCATCACTTTGATAGAAAATTTTTAATAATGCAACTAATAAGCAAAGAAATTAGTGGGGGATATCCGATTTTGGGAAATAATTACAATGATGTAGCAACACATTCTGGTAACTAAGAAAAATAATTGATGTAAATTCCCATAAAATTATTTGATACTTGTATGGTTGGAGCCAAGGTAACTTTTCCTTTGGGTTGGTTAGGAACTCCCGACCCTTGGTGGCCGATACTGGATACTGGGCCGAATCCCTGCCCCTGATGGATGCTCCACTTTGCGCCGTAATCGATCCCATTCGTGACTACCGTTGGCACGCTCTCCGTTGTGGAGGACCCGAAACGGCCTCCTTCCTCTGCGAAATGCCAGGTAAGTCGCGGTTTCCGGGGGGGAATTCCAGCCAAGGTTAACCGATCTCTGCTGCTGTCCCACCACCATTACTTCCTTTAGTTCCCAGCTGGGCAGACGCTTGTATTCTGAAGGACATGCCCAATTTGACCATGCAGTACATGGCGGATACGGCCAGCATCGAGCTCATCCGCAACTGCCAGGAGGAAGGACTCCTGCGACACACCTGCAAGGGCAAGGAGGTGAGTGGGCAGGGGGTAAATTATATAAATTGATCTAAATCTTGAAAAATGTAAGGATAATTTAAGTCAAATTATTTATTTTTTTTACTAATTGAAATTAAAATGGTTTCATATGTAGCACTTATATTTGTGGCCTTTGAATTAGAAAAGTTAAATATAGTCTATACAATAGAATTTTTAAATTGTGTTTGATAAACTCTAAATTTAGCTCATTTCAATTGTAATCAAATGCCTATTGAAGCCAAAAACTTAAATATATTTAAAATATGATACAAACGAAAACGCAATATGATACAAAGTACATTCAAGATATATTTAGTGTATTCAGCAATCCTGTCAGGTGTAAAAAAAGATAGGTATTGTTAGAGCTGTGGCAAATTCTGAACTCAAAACTCTTTATGGAAAATTCAATTTCATCCAACTGACCTACTTAGCCCAGCTGTTAGCATGCTTGTTAAGAAACCAACGATAGGGTGGGTTCGAGCCCTAACCCAAACCTTTCATAATTTTTTTTTTTTTTGTAATTAATTTTAATATTTTAAAGAAATAAAACATCAATTATGATATCGCAATGATGTCCTTTTAATGTTTTGCAATGAAGGGTTCCTTAAAATTATTTTATGTCATGAACATCAAATTAAAAATTTTTTGATTCTGATTTGTGACAGCTACATTAACGACGAGTTTTTATATTAACACAAAGTTGAAACTTACATGTTTTTATAAGTGAATATATTTAACATAAGGCTAGCAACGTTTGAAACAATAAATCAAAGCAAAGTTTAAGATCTAGCATTTTTTTAAAAAGTATTTCGTTGGTGGAAACCTTAAATTTTCCTTGCCACTGCAGTTATTTCCACACTTAGCAAGACAGCTGAATAACCTAAGGATTAATTGGGTATATATGCTTTTTTAAGAACCTTCAAGTCTGAGGCTATTTGACAACCGATTTGAAATATTTATGATTTTTTTTTAAGGTTACAAATTGTATAAACAACTATACTATTTCTAAAATATTTTCTCCCAACCCTCCGACCTTCTCCAGGATCGTGAGCCTGCCATCCGCCAACTGATCTGCCCCAAGGAGCGTCTGGAGGCGCAGCGCATCAACGACATCACCAACTCGCACTTCAAGTCGCTGCAGATCATCAACAACATTCGCACCGACAACAAGGAGAACAACGACATCGATCTGCTGCCCAACTATGGACGGCGATCCGGAATGGCCATTAATATCGAGGTGGCGCCACCAGTGCCACCCGTTTCCGTTTCCGTTCCCGGGTTGGGTGAGCTAATGCAGGCGGATGCACCGGGTGCGGTGTCGCTATCGGGACTCTATCGCATTCCGGATTTGGTGCCCAAGCCGGTGAAGAAGGCGGCCAAGAAGGTGATCACACCGGACTTTGCCAAGAAGTTGCAGGGCAGCCAGCAGCAGCAACATAGCCAGCAGCAACAGCAGCAACAGAAGTCACGCAAATCGCTGGTGCATCAGCATGAGGAGGAGATGATGATGGGCGACCAGCCGGCACTCAGTGAGGAGCAACTGCCTCCGGGCATGGATGTGGGTATGCATATTCCACTTAACGAGGATGACAGCAATAGCGATGCCTCCAATGAGATATTCGAGCATTTGCCGCACAAGAAGAAGATATTGCCGCAGGATTTGCGCACCATGTCGCCAATTGTTGAGGCGGATGTGCCTTTAACGACAGCAGCAACAACAATACTGAAGACAACCACCTTGGCGTCACCGGCAACAGCAACAGCAACAACCACAGCAGCAACAACAACAACAACAACAACGGCAAAAGCAACAGCAACAACAACAACAGCTGAAGTGGCAACCACACCAAAAGCAGTGGATACCACAAGTTCGCAGGTGCCAACAGCAACAACAACCAGAGGGTCAACAACTACAATTAGAACCACCACCATAACAACCACCACGACAACAACAACAACGCCCCGGCCAGAGGAGACAACAACAACAACCACTAGGAAACCGGAACCAACAACAATGGTTGCACCACGAACAACAAAAGCAGCAGCAGCAGCAGCAACTTCATCGATGGCCAGCACCACAACAACAACAACAACAACAACATCAGCTGCCACACCCACAACAACAACAGCCAGTCATGCCACGCCTACCGACAACAGCAACAACAACATGGCCCACCCCATTCATCCCTCACAGCAGCAGCAACACCACCAGCAACAGATACTGCACGAAGGCTCCACGTTGCAACAGCAACATGCAACCCACGTCAATGAGTCCGCCGACAATACGCGCTTTATACCGCCAATGCTGCTGGTGAAGTCGCACTATGTGCCACCGGCGAAACATGCCAGCGAGCATGCAACCACAACAACACTGGCAGCAACAACAACCAGCACAGTGACAACAGCAGCAGCAGCAGCAACAACAACATCAGCTAAGGCGGAATCGCAGCCATCAGCAGTCACGTCATCGAAGGAGCTGACAGCAGCAACGGCAACACCAGCAACGCCAGCAACAACAGCAGCAGCAAACGCAGTGGCAACATCAACCGTGACAGCGACAACAGGTGCAGCTGTGGAGATGACAACAAGCGTGAAAGTAGCTGAAGACACCGCAGCAACATCAGCAACAACGGCAGCAGCAGCAGCAGTAATTGCCAGTGAAGCGCCAGCAGCAACAACTATTGCTGTAAGACCAACCGCAGGTAATGAAATCAAATCGAATGCCACAGCAGCAACACCAAAAGCAACAGCAGCAACAACTACAACAACAACAACTACAAAAAGACCAGTTCCCAGGCCAGTAAGATTCACCAAATATCCGGAGAACGTTGGCTCCTTCAAGGTGGATAACAACGGCATGGGCAGCCCCGAGGAGGAGGACGACCAGGACGAGTTGGGCCATTTGGACACCGAGGCGGCCACAAAGCGACACAACTTCCTGGAGGAAACCGAGGCGCCATTCAAGCCAAATCGACGACGCTCGCTAACCAAACCGGAAACGGTTAGCTATTTCAAGAAGATCTTGGGCTAAATAACGCCCACAGCCGCATTCCGCACTTGCAACACCGTAAACCGTAAACGTAATCGTAACAGTAACCAAACTGTTAAACCATAAATAAGAAACAAAAAATAAGAGAGAAGTAAAGTAAAAAGTACACTCCCTGCAACCAGGTAATTGGTCTTCAAAATCAGAGTAAATTGAAACAGCTGAGCCGCTGGCCATTTCCTCCTTAGAAATCTCCTCCCCTAGAAAACCCACATCCACATTCCGGCCAAAAGTTTGTGGAAGCTAATGCTTTGCCAAAGTCTTGTGTCCCAGGCAGAAATTCCGGAAATCCAACCGGAAACCCCCAAAAGAAAACTCTACTCAACACAAGTCGTCTCGACTCCAGTTGCAAGTACCGAAATATGTCAATTTTTCAAAGGCAAAAGTAAAAAAAAAAAAAGGAAAACGAATGAAAATGCAAACAAATAAACACGCACACTCAAAAACAGATACAGATACACTTAAAGCCAGAGAAAGTGCGAATCTGCCAGGTGGGGAGAAAGCAAACTGAAAAAAAAATAAAGGAGTTGCAGCTGGAAAAGCAGGGAGTGTGTGCGATGCAAAGGCCAAATCTAAAGTACGATAAATACTACAAGAAAAGTGTTTACAAACGTATACATAAGGCGTCTGTTTTGGATTTCCGTTTGCTTTGCCTACAAGCGACATGTGGTCACACTGGTCTGAAAGGGGAAAAACTACAAACGATGTGTGAAAAGTGCAAGGAAAATGCGAAAACTGAAAAGCACTTCAAAGCAAATGTTTCGCCACTAGCTCTTTACTTTATTTGAATTTCTAGAACTTAAATAAATAAAATCCAATTTTTAACCACTTTAAATTTCTAAAAGCCTTCCTATATGTCCTTGTTCTTTAACAAAATTAGAGCTTCCATTAAAAGAAACAAATTTTGACTAAACTAAACATTAATTTAAAAAAATTTCCCTTAATTTGAGCTTCCTGAAAATCCTTAGAGCCTTGAAAAATTCTTTAAAATCCATAAAAGGTTTCACTTGCCACTTCATTTTTTAGTTGAAATCTTTAAGCTTTGAAATTGACTTGCCAAGGCGAATGAAAATCCAAAACGGCAATCGCCATGCAAATTACATATTTACCTATAAATTATGAACATATGAAATAGATGTTGTTTTTTTTTTGGTGTATTAAAATAGTCAAATACATAATGTGTAAGCGAAAAAGGGAAAACAAACAGAGTGGGCGTTCGTCATTTGAAAATTTTGAGAAAATTACTTCGAATGATTGCGGCAAATTGGCGGAGCGGAGAGGCGTAAGCGAGTATAAAATGAAAAATGCGTTGCAAGAAACGAGCACACTTAAGATTAAGCTAAAATTTAACGAATCGAAAGAGAAAACCCAAAAGAGGAAAATAAAACCGAAAAAGGCGGAGACGAGCCCCTAAATGATACGGAAAAAAGGCCGAAAAAAAAGAAAACACTTGATGTAGAGAATTATTTGTAGGTACTTGAGTATTTGAGAGCAGCGGGCAGATTAATACGAACCCGTTGGGTCGCTCTGAAAAAAAAAACAAAAAACCATGCAGTAAAATAGTCTAAATGTAAACCAAGTAATGAATTATGAATAAAATGAAACCCTTTCAAGAAATTACAAATACAAAAGGTGACTTAATGGGAAATGGGGTGGAAAAAAGGGACAAACAGAGATGTCTTTAAAGCCAAAGAATGGAATTATCTACAAGTTTTTGGTTAAAATCCCTCTACAATCTTAAAAAAGAAAAAAAATTTACTCTTTTTAAGTTTCATTCTTGAAGTTAATAAATTTATTGCAAGATCTAACTACTTTTAGTCGAGTTATGAGTCCTCTTAAAGTTCAATGAATCCAAACCATTATTTCTTACCCATCGAAGTCCGATTCCAGAGTGCTAAGTATACCTCTTGCATCCACTTTCCTTTCCTGTCTATTTTCTTCTTTTTTTTGCTTCCTGTTTTCCGCCTCGTGTTTTCCTTTTTTTTTGTTAATTTTCCATTTTTCCCTTCCTTTGGTTGTTTTGGAGTGCGCGACGCGTGAAAAGCCGCTGGAGGCGTATTTTGTAAATTGAAAAGCACGAGGGCAGGGTCCCATAAGAGTCCCTAACTCAGTTGCTGCCTTCGGAATACCCTAGGCGACAAGTGCCCGGGGAGTATGCACAATACCAAAACAATGGCCATCCTGTCGTATACGTAATTCACAAAAGTAAGTAAATAAATTCTGTTTAATAGCAGGTTTATTGAATATAAATTTAAGTTAATTCTTATTCAATTTTTTAAATGGTATCTTGTTTAAAAATATTTGCACTTGAGTAAGGTTACTCAAATAAATTAATTTAAATCAGAACTAAAACATTCAGTAATTTGTTATTTGCCTAAATTAAACATTTATTCAGAGTTAAATGAATACTTGAATATTTTTTTTCAAATAAATACAATTACTTAAAAATTAAAAAAATTCAAAAATGGTTTTTTTCAGTAACTAAAATATTTTAAATATATTTATTTTATTAGGTCTCTCTTGAATTATTTAATTCAAGTCAATAATAATATTTTAAATTGTTTTCATGCTAAAAAATCCGTAAATATTTAAGCCACATGAACAAGGTCCCTCTTCAATTGTTAAATTCAAGTATCTTAAAATAATATCTTAAATGTTCTTTTAGTTTACGTAGAAATATCCGTGCCAATATATAAATGGATACTTTTACACTCCTTTACCTTCCTTTAAAGCTCTTTTTCTATAGCTTTCTTCATATTTTTGGCAACTTGCCGGAAATGCCCCGAACTTCCCTAATCAAAGGCCCCTGGTCCTGGCCCTGTTTCGCTTGAGCGTAAGTGGATTGTTGGTCAGAATGGTGGCACGATGTCCGTATAATTCGCTCAGACGGAGGATATGGTGTGCGTGCCTGCTCCTGGGCAACTTGGCCATTCCGGAGCTCCAGGTCCTGGTTCGGTCTCTTCTGGTTCTGGTCACTGGTCACTGCTTTTCGTCCTGGCCACAACTGGAGTTCTGACCAGCGAAGCGTCGCTTTTAGCATTGGGTGTAAGCTCCTGCTGGCTACTCGCTTTTTTTCTGCTTTTTTTTTTTGTTTTTTCCCTTGTAGCCATATTTGCGTGAGGCATGCAAAGGGCAGTCTGGAAAACTGTGGCCACTGAACTGAAAATAGCTGAACACCAGGGGGCGTGGCTGGAGACGCCAAACGCCCACACGCCACAAAAGTTTCTAATATGCAAGAATTCAAGGTACTATTTATACGAATTTAACAGCTACAATTTTAGTTCAGATATGTCCAAAGATATATTTTTCTTCTCAGAAGATTTATTTTTTTCTAAGGCACCCATGTTTAAGTGAACAAAATTCACAATAGAAATAAATAATTAAATTCCAAATGGAATAAAAAAAAATTGAAGGGGATTTGAACTCCTTAACTTTGGAGCGAGAGGTAGATGTTCTAGCCTCTAGGCTACTCAGGAAAGTAAAAAAATCGAGAAAACGGTTCAGCTGCTTGGTTTGTTATTTTATCATGAATTTGACCATTTCTTAATAGCATACTGTATAAATTATTTAAACTAACATTTTTTCCATTAACTAACACTTATTGCGAACCAAAATCTAAACAAAAAGTGAGGAAAAGAGTGGTCCAAATACACCCCAGTTTATCTGATTCATAATTAATTCAAATAAATTTAAATTTAAACACAATTTTGATCGTCTTGCCATTTATTTTTCTTTTAAAAATGTTTCCTTTTAGGCACCCAATTAAAAAAAAACAAAATAGACTTAAGTTAAAACAAAAATGTAATTCAAAATGGAACACAACCGTTTCAACTGGGCTTTGAACTCCTAACCTTTGTACCGAAAGGTAGATGTTCTAACCACTGAGCTACTATGGACTATGAAAAAATCAAAAAAATCCTTCAGCTGCTTTGTTTATTTTTCTATCACGAAATTGACAATTGTAGAAAATAATTAATAATTTAAACTTCAATTTTTGCCCACCAATCTTTCTTGTAAAACAGTGCGAACAAGGTATTTTCTCTACCACCCCAGATTATCTACCCTATCTGACTATAGGTTTTTAATTAATTTAAGTGAGTTCCGATTTAAGTACAACTTTTATTGGTTGAGGGCTCGAAGTACTTGCAATGTGTTTTCTTTTGGTGCAGCGACTAACCGGTTAACCGGCTGAATAAGCGTTAAGGGCACACAGCACTCGGGAAATTTATTACACACACTGCAAGCGCACTTTTATTCCATTTCGGTCGATGGACGCCTTTTACGGCCGACTCGAGGAGCGAATTAAGTGCAGCCGGCGCAGACAGGACTTTCCTCCTGCCAAAAGGACGAGGCCCACACACAGACACACACACTCGCATGACAACCATTAGGCTGGAAATTAAATTTTTATGGGTGGGAAAAAAAAAGGCACAGGACGACCATAAAAGGATCTGTGTGGCGCCATTCGCGAGGAGGCTGCAAAAATTTCAAATGTATATCAATTGCGGTTGCTCATTGACGCCTGTAACGTCTGTACTTCCTCCTCCGCCGCCGACATCACTCCGTCTCTTAGGCAAACGAGTCAAAGTTAATTGAATTTCCACAGGTGAGGTGGTTGAGCAGGTGTGCCACTACACGGGGTATTAATTATGCAGGTGCCACACGAGCTGCAGGCGAACCTGATCCGGCCATCGAACTCAATCAATTCGCAGCGAAGATCAAAAAACTAGTGGAATGACTCAATTATCAAAGGATATTGAGTAAATGTAAATTAAATGTGGGGAAGAGAGGTAAATTAAATCCGAATATTTCATTGAAGATAAAAACCCCTGTTTGATTCTTTAAAAAAATTGAAACCAGTCAAGGATTTACCATTAAAATAATGAACATAAAACAAAACAAGGAAAACAGTTAAATTTTTATATATTTTGCAAAGGTGTCTAAAAGTATGCAACAATATATTGTGTTGATATATTATATAAGACATTCTGATGAATTCATTTTTACAGCATACTTTGATACTCTTTTACAAGAAATTTAGAATCTTATCTTCATTTAATAGAATAAAAATGTTATAAGTCTAATTTTCACGGGTTTTAAGTCTACACCGTGGATGTAAAGCAGCATCCTTTGAAATATAAATCACTAAGAATAAAGTTCACCTCTTAATAGAATTCCATTAAAAAATATTTAAAAATTTTAATTTTCTTTTTTTATAAGGCTTGCATTATAAGGAGACCTTAATTTTTTAGAATGTTGTTACCCTCCCAAAAAAGTTCCAGTAAAAATGCAAAAAGTCAAATTTTTCTCTACTTAAAAGTCATTTTAAAAATAAAAGACCATCATAAATTAGAGTTTACTTCCAAACATTATACTATTCTTGTGCTCCTCAATAGAACATCACCAAAAAAAGTTATATATATATATAAGATATATATTGCTATATTATTAAATATAACTACTTAACAGTATACTATTTTTGTGAATGCTGCTGTGTGTCTGCATCTTTTTGCATTCATTTTAATGTTACCCCCTCAATAGAATTCCATTAAGTAAATGCAAACAGTTTTATTTATTTTTCTCATTTCAAAACACTGTAATATAAGAAGACCATCATAAATTAAATTTCGTATACAAAAAATAAATACTATTTTTTTGTACGCTGCTGTGTGTCTGCATCTTTTGCATCGATAAGCCACGAATCGCTTACCGTTTTGGTTAATCACTTCTCAATCGGCAGCTAGAGGCAACACTTTGGGGACACAATTATCCTAATCCCGGCGCTTCGAGTTGCCATCCTCCTTGCTACTGGCAATCCTGCTGGCAAACCCATTTCCATTCGCATTCGAATTTCCCAGTAACCATTGCGATTCGCATTGCGAGGGCCATGGAGGAAATGTAAGTGCAAAGTGGATTCCTTGACGGCAGCCTCGGGGGTTGCATCGCGTCATCGAGCTGCAGTCAAATAGCAGTAAACTTCAAATGTCCTGGTTGTCCTTGTCGGGAATGCTACCCCCTGAACCCCTTTCACCCCTTTTCACCCCTTTTTAACCCTTTTACCACCCCCTCTCCTTCTGCGGGTTATTTTGGCGAGGGCAATGGCAATGGCAACCGGATGCGGAACCAATTTAACGACGCCATTTCCGCGCACAGGCGACCAAACGTCAGCCAGGCAACTGCAGAATCTCTGCGGCGACCATTGGCATCATGGATGTGGCAGGACCTTCTTCCTCTTCCTGTCTGCCCCCCCAGTATTCCCCATTTCCAGACTCCAAAGTTTGTGATGTTGTCTACACGCGACTGCTATTTTGGGTTGCCATTATTGATTTCCAAAGTAAACTTTTTGCTGCCACACTTCCCACACACTTTTAATAGCACAAACGGATCATTAAAAATATGGCAAATTCAATTATGCTCAAAGAACCATTTTTCTGCACTTTGGTTTTGAAAATTTTTAATGCAATCACTCAATGAATGCAAACAAAAAAGAAAAAAAAAGAGCAAATTAAATTGCCCTCATTCCTTTGAAAATTTAAATTGTCAAAGTTGATTTTTATTATGCAAAAGCTTTTTAATATAATAAACGTGAATCATTTCTCCACAATTTAGTCACACCAATTTTGCAGTTTAAATAAATGAATAAAAATGAAAATCTATCAAATTAATAATAATTGCGGGCTTTTATTTTGAATTACATAAAAAATTATGATTGTCCAAAGAATTTAATAAAAATGAAATCAGTTTATGGCATTTCATGATTTCCTTTGTGCCAATATCAATTGGAAATATCGACCTGCATGCTAGCCGTCAACATTTTAATCAAATAATCGAGTAACAGAGTATACCTGGCCATAAATTAAATTAGGCTCAAAGTCGAATTTATTCTTGTGGAATTTTTGTCGCAGGCAACTTTTTAGTTTTTCTGCCAGCAAGCAAATTAAACACGTCTCTCTTAATTTATGAAAATAACATTGCAGACATATAATGGTTTTTATTTTCACAGATTGCGGGACTTGAACTTGTTTGCTTTTTAAGAACAAAAATCTTACTCTGCGCATTTGCAGGATAAACGGAATTAAAATGGAAACCCTGTGGGGCTTTCAATTTCCTGTCCTATTTACTTTGAATAATAAATGTGTCTGATTTAATTTGCTTTATTTTTTGTAAGTCTTTTTATATGGACTGAACGGCTATTGTACTTTCATGCATTTTAAGATTATAATCTCACTTAAATTGTTTTGTTTTGGGTATACAGAGATGCAAAAATGGTTATAGTTTTGAATATTAATGGCATCTTTAAAATAAATCCCGAAATAAAAAAGTCCTATTTTTTACAGACTTGTTCTTACTTAAACTGTACTCATTAATTAATACTGTGTACTAAAGTAACAGTTTTCCTTTGTAATTAACAATTGTATCTACCAAATTGTCATTTGAATAAAAATCATATATCCAGTTTAGAATATTAATGGTATCTTTAAGATAAATCCGAAACATAAGAGTTATATATTCTTAGGTATTTTCTTACTCTTTCTTTATTTTAAATATTTCTGTTTACCAAAGTAACATATTTTTATGGCAATTAACAATTGTATCTACCAATGTGTTGCTTGAATAAAAATGATATATTCAGTTTAGAATATTAATGGTATCCTTAAGATAAATCCCATATATTTTCTTACTTAAACTAGGTAAAACACCTGTTTATGTTTACCAAAGTAACATTTTTTTATTGCAATTAAACATTTGTATCTACCAAATTGTCCCTTAAATAAAAATCATATATCCATAGATGACGAAAGTTTCCAAAAATGTTGTTTTACTGCCACGAGATGTCTTCTTCGCCAGCCATAAATAACTTTCTCTGCGCATTTGCAGGTTGTACCCAGTGAATTAAGTTTGAAACCCCATCAGGATCCCCATTTCCTGATTTCCTGCGGCCCGACCGCAGCGCTGTCTATTTCCGCTTGTGGATGCGATGCGCATTTATTACTCGCTTTCGCCCGATATCAGCCACCGACTTGACTTGGCCGCAATCGTTTAAGCCGTTTTGAGCCAGCCGCAAGCAAACCGAGGGCAATCCCCCAAATTGCCGCCAAAGAACATTGCCAGTAACTGCCACATGCCACACACACACACATCTATATACATTTCGATATAGATATAGATATATATATATATATATATTTATATATAGAAATATATATGGGGGAGTTGGAGGAGTTGCCATAACAAAGGACCTTGGCAAGCTGCTGGCATCCAATTGAATCCGGCATCAATTCAGATGGCCCGGCGATGACATCCCAAACAAAAGGGGCGGCGGAAAAGTGGAAAAGCGGAAAAGCAGAAATGAAATGAATTATGTTAAGCATGCAAATTTGAATAAAAACAAACAAAAAAGTGACAAGCCAAAAAGAAACTGCAAACCTGGAACATTACAAAAAAAGTGAGGAAAAAAGGGGCATAACTGGCAGGGACATGGACATGAACACAGACTCCTGTCCCACAAAAATCAACTGCCAATTGCAATTTGCCTGGCTGTGTAAATAAAACATTTTAACAACATCTACTACAGACATTGGGGGCACAAACAAAAATCGTGTGAAGCGATGGCAATCTGCATTCTAATTTACCTGAAAAAAGTGACAAAGCTGAGACAAATAAGTTAATAAAATTTAACACGGAGTACATTAGTGAAATGATGAAAGGAAATACCACTAAACATATCCAGGCAAAAAAGTTTAAGTATATAAAAGTTTAAAACCATTATAAGTAGTATATATTTAGCAAATATCTCAAATCTAATATACTATTATGTTGATTTTTTTAAAGTAAGTCCTCTTCTTATGGGTCCTCTATTTTATACCCCTACGAATATTTAAGATTGTTCATATTTTTTGAAAAAGTTCAGCAAAGAGTTTTTAAATTCTAGCATATTAAACAAAGTCGTGGTTTAATGAGGCATTCTTTGATCAGACGTTTATTTTTGTTAAGCAGCCAAAAACTAAATTTTTAGAGCGAAAAATGGGAATCAGATTTTGGTCAAAAAATCTCATTTTTTAGTAGTTTTTCAGTCGTAGCTTAGCCAAATCAAGGCTTACAGCTAAAAGACCGACTGTTTTGAGCAGCTTTCTACAAATGCTATCGATCCCCATCGTTTTAAGGAACATTTTTTTTTTGACCCATTTTCGCATTTTTTACAAGTTATTTTTGAGATTCAGATTTTGGTCAAAAATACTCATTTTTTAGTGGTTTTTCTGTCGTAGTTGAGCCAAATCAAGGCGTACAGCTAAAGGACTAACTGTTTTGAGCAGCTTGCTACAAATTCTATCTATCCCTATCACTTTAAGGAACATTTATTTTTTGACCCATTTTCGCATTTTTTATAAGGGGGTACATCAGTTATTTTTGGGATTCAGATTTTGGTCAAAAATACTCATTTTTTAGTAGTTTTTCAGTCGTAGCTTAGCCAAATCAAGGCGTACAGCTAAAAGACCGACTGTTTTGAGCAGCTTGCTACAAATTCTATCGATCCCCATCACTTCAAGGAACATTTATTTTTTGCCCCATTTTCGGATTTGTCTTGGGTTGTCAGTAAGTTCAAAATTACCGGTAAAAAACCGAGCTTCAAAAAGAAGATCGACTGAACTCGCCAGACACCTCTAATATTTAAAATATAATTACTTAATGTTGACTATTTTATTATTGAGCTAATCTTTAAAATGTATATAGCTTTTATTAAAATTTTAAAATCGTCCTTTTTTTATAATTTTATGTAAGTCATATAATTATCATTTCCCTTGTTTTGGAACACCTATTAAAATTATTTAAGTTTGTTTTTATTTTGTAAAGAAATCCTGCAGTGTTTTTAAGATTATACACTTTAACGATCTCAGAAACTTTATCTAGTCTCCCTTTGGAGTTTTTTTGGGTTGTCATTAAGTTCAAAATTACCTGTGAACCAAAACCGAGCTTCATAAAGATGCCCTCAACTTGATCGCTATGGAAACGCCAGTCACCACTTCATCACTATCCCATCTCAGCCAAAAGTCGCTGCAATCCCTGGGGATTGGAGTCCTGGGGAAAAACGAAACCGAAATCGAGTCCTACGACTGGCCACTGCTGTTCCACTCCATCCGGCCGGGCATTCGCAAGAAGTCCGATCTGTTGATAGCCCTAACCCACTTTCTGGTCACCAAGGAGTACCGCCTGCGATGCACCACTAAGGACACCTTAAAATCAGGGGAAAGGCAGGTGGCTGGAGGCAGTTCCAGTGAGTTGCTACCGGATCACTGGAATCGTGATGCGCACCGATACTCGCTGCACTACGTCGATGAGCTGGGCAGTCAGTATGTCCTCTTGGCCAAGCTGAGTCGTCGGGATTTGGTGATCAGTCTGCAGAACTCGACCAGCAAGCGAGTGTCCATCGCCTGTCTGCAGCCCGAGAATCTGGTGGTCTCCACCAGTAAATCCTCCGTGGAGAAGTGCATTCCCAGGGTGGAGAAGATAATGAGTCGACTGCGCTTTGATCTAGTGGATCCGGCCGTGCGGGGTATTCGCAAAAAAGATCTGCTTATGCGGCAGTCCGCGGCCTCCTCCAAAGTGACCTTCGACCTCGTCAGGAGCACCCATGATCTGGACACAGAAGAGTCCACCTAGAAGTGGATTCTATTTTAAGTTTGATAACTTTTCCTGTTTAGGAAGTTTATTTTATTAAGAGGATAAATAAAATATAGTTATTAAAGCACAATGGTTTAATATAATAAAAAAACAAAAGTTTTAAAAGAGAAAAACAAACAAAAAAGGAATTTTTAACCTATACTCAGAAGAACCCATTTTTAAGCTTTAAATTGAACGACTTTTCATGTAGAGGAAGTTCATTTTATTAATAGGATAATAATAATATATAATATATTTATAAAAGTACCAATGAATAAAAAAATATAAGTATTAAAAAAGAAAAAAAAGGAATTTTCAAACTCCACTCAGATTTCAATTTAATTCGAATATTTAGTAATCTTTCCTACAAGGAAGTTCCCTTTATTAAAAGTATAAATAAAATATAGTTATTAAAGCACAATGGCTTACCAGAAATACTAATATATATTAACATACTAAAATTAACATAAGTTTTAAAAGAGAAAAACAAACAAAAAAGAAATTTTTAACCTATACTCAGAAGAACACACTTTTACATTTTAAATTGAATGACTTTTTCTGTAAAGGAAGTTCATTTTATTAAAAGGATAATAATAATGTATGATATATCTATAAAAGTACAATAGCCTACCAGAAATACATAAATACCAGTGAATACAAAAAATATAAGTATTAAAAAAGAAAAAACAAAAGGAATTTTCAAACACCACTTAGAACTTAACTTTAAAGTAATTTTTTTTCTATATGAAAATTCCTTGTATTAAATGTATATATAAAATATACTTATTAAAGCACAATGCCTTACCAGAAATACATAAATATAAGTAAACCAAAAAAAATAAAAAAGTAATTTCTAACCCGGAATCGAACTCACAACTCAGAGTTTATAAGTTCAATGCCCTAGCTACTGCTCTACTAAGGCGAGTTTGGCCCCGACATCTATTGGCTTACTTAAAATGTAAATTAGTAACGTAACCCTCTATTTAACAAATCAAAGTAGGCAAGGTTTTTTATTTCGTACAAGTCTGAGCAGGTGAGGTGTAAGTTTATCCCTAGGAAACTGTCACCTCGCCGCCGGCGGCAGTCTAGGGGGTTGAGCTCCAACTCCCCAGATTGCCGCTGGTCCGGGTTCGAATCCCGGTAGTAAGAAGCATGGATCGGTGGGCTGAGGAAGAGACAATTCAACACATTATCAACATTGACCAGAGGAAAGCAAAACTAACACATTAGAATTAAGCAGAAAGTGGATACACAGTGGACATGAGATTCAAAAGTATAAAATAAAAAATGTTTTTTTTTTTTTTTTTAAATAAAAATTTGGTATATAGTATACAACTTTTTATTTAACAATTAAAATAACTTATCAAGTATATATATATGAATGTATATAATGTTTGTATTATGTTTTCATAATTCCTACGCACTGTGGTCATAAATAAATGAACTGTTTTACATTTCTTTTTCGAATAACGAAGTGCATTTATTTTGGTATCAGAGCATTAGTCAGTCGAAATATTGTTTTATTTTATAGCTGCGGTCTTTTTCGCCCTTCTTGTTCTGTCACAAATGGTTGTCATTACTATTGTGGCTCCCCTCGCGCTTTGTCCTGCATTTATTATTTATTGTATTAATAATGCAGTCGCGTTGAAAATTTCATAATGTCCGGCCATGTCATTGAGGCAGTTGCAGTCAGCAGTTGTTCCGGATTCGCTCCGGTTATCCTATTTTTTTTTTGTGGTGTTGTGTTTTAATTTTTGTTGCACATCTGCGGATGTATTATTGGATGTTGACACTTTTGTTGTTGATGCAGCTGTGGTTGCGGCAAAGTTGACGTTGATGTGGATGTTGATGGCTGGTTTGGTTTGGTTTCGGTTGGATTCGGTTGGTTTTGGTTGGTTTTGGTTGGCCGGGAGCAGCGGAACCGCGAAATACAAAGCCAAACCACCTATGATTTTATTCAGTGAAATTAAAACCACTGAGTAACGCAATATGAATATGGTATTAAATATCAGTGGCAATGAGTAGTAAAACCCTAGCTCAATTTTTGTCTCAGATATTGATGTACAGTGTAATACAGATACTATCAAGTTAATTAGGGTGGACCAGAGCTCTTAATTAAAGAGTGCTGATTATATAAATAAGCATTAAGCTAAGCATTCTTAGCTAATTACTACCTATTCAATATTTTTTGTATATCTTAGTATTATGGCGTTTAAATAAAATGTTTACTATAATTCTCGCTTTCCTTGCTTATTTTCTAAATACTTGTGTAATGTTTAACTTCTGTAATTTACTTCCTTTATAAGGCTCATCCCATTGTGAGGGTGTGTGAGTGTTGCAGCATCATCATAAAATTCAATTAAAGCGAAACGCACACAATCAAACAAAAGATCAAATTAAATGCCGGCTAGCAATTTACTTCGCTGATGTAAGAGGGCGTGGTAGCTAACACACAGAAGAGGCTATGTGTGTGTGGATTTTTATGGATGTTTATACACAGGGAACAAAATAAGGTTTTGGAGATGCTGTGCACCAAAAACCCACCTTAAAATTGACTACATTTAACATTCTACGTTTTAGTTGCCTTCAAGCGAATTCAGGAAATATTTTGTTTACCACGGTAACTAAAGTTGCATTTTTCACTATCACTTTAACATTATTTAAGGGTGCATTTAAAAGGTTTTACTAATTTTACAATTTATTTTTATTTTACCTGTAAATATTATTGATAAACCCTTATACTTAAGAGGTTTTGAGAGGTTTTACTAATCTTACAATTTATTTTTATTTTACCTGTAAATATTATTGATAAACCCTTATACATAACATCTTAGCATTGTTCAAATATTTCTCAAATCAGTAATTTTTTCTTTTTCAATAATTTCTCTCCGTGTACCCCCACACATATATAGGTACACATATGCTTGCGTGTGGCATAGACAACGGCACGCATTGCGGTTTAACGCGCTTTTCATTACTTGGCGCGGGATGAAGGAGGCTGAATGGCTGCCAAAGGAACATCAAAGGAGGTGGCCACACAGACGTGGAAGGACATCGGCAAGAACAAGAACAAGGACAAGTTGCTGCGGTATTTTTACGACCATTTCAGTTTCGTAATGGCAATCGAAAAGCTTGTACAACCACACACATGGCTAAATGGGCGAAAATGTTAGGGGGGTGCACCGAAAATCATATAAAAGTCATTGGGACTTAGTTAAGCCAGTGATATTAACAAATGCCAGGGATGAGAAAAACAGTAGGAAAAAAAACCACATAGAAATGGTTTGGGACATAAGGATGATAATAAACCAAGTCAACCACAAAGGAGATATAGCATAGCGATACTAAAATCCACATGTCACATTGGACATTAGCGGCAGACCGGAAAACCCACAGAAAGGCAGTTAGAATACAACAAAGATTGAGAAAAGCAGTTAACTTAAATAGATATAAAAGTATTTCACTGCAAATTCATATAAATAAATAGGGTTCTTATTTGGAAGCCTTTCTTTTTGTCCTTTGGATTATTATTATTTAAAAAAAAACCGCATGTAAAGGGTTCTTTAATTTTTAATTGAATCCATAATGGTCAACAATGAAGTAAAATTTAAATACCATGCGGCTGGCAATCAATTTCCATTCTGGCAAAAGTGTTCCGTGCGTTTAATCAATATGTTGTCCGCCAAATGCAATCCATCCATCACCGCCAATCAGGCGGGAAATGGCTGACCACAATCCAGTGTCCATTATCTGGCCATTTCACTGGATACTGGATGGCAAGTCGTGGTGATAGCGGCGATGACACGGATTTCTACTTTATATAGAGCCACCCGGAACCAACCCATCCAAAACCTTAACCCCTGAAAGCCCCGGTGGCGCCATCTTGCGTGCAGGCAATTACAAAGTTTTTGGCGCTGCATTTAATTAGGTACGGCAGCAATCGGCCATCAGGCATCAGCATTTGTTACAGTCGCCCGTACAATGTACCAAACTAATAGCTGACCGCTCGGGGCGACTTTTACCCGGCCATAGTGGCGGGGGCTAAGGGTAATGGGGCACGGGCCCAACGAGCCGCTTAATTGAATGCCCTCGGCGAAAAGTGAAAAAAACCCAGGAAAACAGACTGAAAAACAAGCAGGCATTTTCAAGTTTCCATCATCGACTTATAGAGTACCTTTGCCTACAAATACATTTCGAGAGATTCTGATACAATCGTTGGAAAAAATCCTAGAAGTAAATGCAATATCGTAAGTATAGGTAGATAATGAGGGTAGATAGGAATTCAACCAATTATTAAACTTTTTTTGAGCGTTATGTAGGGTTGAAAAAAATAAAATAGATTAGATTAAGATGTAAAAACTCAAAAAAATATATTTGAAAATTCGTTCTTTTTTTGCCTAAGCTTTGTCAAAACTTCAAATAACATTTTGTTTCAAACATCTTCGTTTAAGCAGAAGACCTTGGGATACACTAACAGAAAATATATACTTTTAAATTTCCTAAAATTCTATCACCATTTATAATGTCTTCGAATGAATGTTTTTTTTGAAGTCGCAGCAAAAGTAATCTCAGCGTGAGGGTTTTTGATATTTTTTTTTTATTTTTTTTATTGTTATTTTACTAAGCAAACATGTTAAAATTTAAAATATTGTTCGCTTTAAGCAGAATTCTGGACCAATACCCTATGCAGCCCCTTAAGACTATTAAAGTAAAATAGAGCAACTTAATAACAATTAAAAAGTGATATATATTTGTATGATATACTTTGTATAATAATAAGAATATAAAGAAAAAAAGAGCAATTCGAGGTCACTCTACTAAATAAGGGGAAATGGCAAAGCACGTAGAGGAAACTGAAGAAAAGCCAAAATTATACATTATATTATCGGCTGCAGAATGAAGAAGAAAGTTAAGAGTGAGAGGGCTGTTGTCCCAAGCATTTGGCTTCGGCTTTGGCTTTCTCCCGCCGGCTGTTTGTTAATGGCAAAGCTCGAGCAAATTTTCATGTTGGCTTAGACAAAACGGCCCAGCTGCACCGCCGCCACAGAAATTGGCC